GCTGACCCACACAGCCATCTCTGCCCAGCCGCATGACTTCCGTTCCCCATCGTCACGGCTGCCCTATGGAATAGGGATTTCCTCGTTGCAGAGGAACAGGTCCCCTGCTGGTGAGGTGCACAGCTGGAGCTTGAATCCAGAACGTGGACTGAGCAGATTCTCCACCTGGTGCTAATAGAAACAGGAGTGGACGGAGTCAAGACCAGGAGGCTTTGCATACGACATGGGCAAAGCAAACCCTCTCTGAGAATGGCTTCCAGAGCCTTTGACTCGTTATTGACCCCTCTGTGATAAACACGGACTTATAATAAGGTTCAAGAGTCTTGGAAACAAGTGCTGAGAAGTTTTGTTTCTTTTTTTAAGAACTTTCTAACCCATATTCATCACCAGTCCATACCACCATGCTACCAAATAAATCCTGGTATTTCACCCCCATTCTGCAGATGATACATCACCACTATTTCATGTATTTCCCTACCTCCTATAGAGTTGTTGAAATTAATGTTGTGAAGAGAAACATAGTGACAGCACTTAATGTTCAAAAGATAAAAATAGGTTCCTTAACTAGAAAGAATCTTCAAAGTCTAGGGGCAGAAAAGATCTGAGTAATCCTAGCTGCTCAGGAGGCTGAGGCAGGAGGATCCCAAGTTCCAGGTCAGCCTGGGCAACTAGCACGACCCTGTCCCAGGACGGGAGAAGACAGGGAAGGAAGTCAGTAGCAGAGTCTTGTCTAGATGCCGGAGACCTGGGATCAATCCCCAGGACCACAAAAAAAAGGACCCAGGAGTCGAGTTCAATCTCCTTCAATTAACAGTGTTTCCACAGTACCCCTGACAGGCAGTCTCCCCTGGAATTCCTCCAGCAGCAAGGTCTCATTTTCTTTAAGATACTTTTTTCTTATTGTCTTAGTCACAGGTATTAGTTCTTCTTTCTAAAACTGAACTAAAATCTACTTTTAATTCTGACCCTCAGTCCCTAGGAGCCACTACTTCACCTACATGACTTTTGACATCTGAATTCATCAAGGTGTAGTAACTTCCTGTCCTCACAGAATGAACATCTAGTAAGGTGATGCCTTTTGGTGTTTTACTTGTGGGACCTTTATGTCATTCGTTTATTTATATGTGCCGCCGAGAGTCGAACCCAGGGCCTCCCCCATGGGAGACAAGCGCTCTACCGCTCGGCCCCAGCCGCAGCCCCTGTATGTCTTGATGAAACACACTCGTGTGGTTCCAGACCCTCCTGCCTCAGCCACCTGAGTCATGTCAAGGTCGTCTTGAAGCTGGACACGGTGGCACACACCTGTAATCCCAGTGACTCGGGAGGCTGAAGCAGGAAGATCACAAATTCAAGGCCAGCCTCAGCAACCAGGTGACACCCTGTCTCAGAAAAACAGAGGGGCTGGGGGTGCAGCTTGGGGGTAGAGCACCCTACTCCGTCCTGAACCCACGCTGCTGACTGCTTTGATCTCTTGCTCGTGCTCTTTGGGGACAAGCTGCCTTCGGTTGTGTTGTCTTTATCTGGGGTGTGGACACAGGGGCCAGGTGGCTAACGCCAAGGCCAAGGCCGTGCTCACCAGCTGCTACCAGAGAACACCCCCGGCCTGGATGCTGGGAGCTGCCCTTGCTGGGGTGGCAGAGGTTTCGCTGCACCTTATAGAAGGTCTGGTGAGAAGGGGAGGGGACCAGGAGTGCCTCCTGCCCCTGAGCCGTCTGCAGTGGGAAGACCCCGTGGGGTGAAGTGGGTCTTCACTTCTCCCCAGGACACACCTGGAGTGGGATCCTGGGCCTCGGGGACTCTGCTTAACTCTCTGAGGAGCCACCAAGCTCTTCCAAAGCAGCAGCACCATTCTACGATCCCCCAGCAGCAGGTGGGGGCCCGGCTTCTCCGCGTCCTCGCCAGCACTTTTTGACTATAGATCTGGGATCTCTTCAGTGCCCCCCCTTCCTCCCTCAGCCCACCTGGTGGCAGGCTGCAGGCCATCAGGGCAGCTAGAGCCTCAGCTCCCTCTGGCCAGGGCCTGGGTGGCTGCCAGGCCGGCCCAGCCTGCTGACTTTTACAGGGAGCGGGTTGGTCTGGGCCTGCTGGGCATTTTCAAGATGACATCACCATGTGCCGTTGAAGACCCTGGGCCTCAGGGGCTGGGGAGGGCTCAGCGGCAGGTCTTGGCTGCCTTGCCACCACACACCCTGGCTTCCATCCCTCGCACCAGAAACAGATTTTTTTTTTTTTTTAAACCTTGGGTTTTAAAAGTCAAGCAGATGGAGATCCAGATCCCTGCTCCCGGCTGGGTGTCCTCTGGCGCTTCCTGGAGCCTTGATTCCTCCCTTGTACAGTGGAAGAGGTGGACGGGGTCTTCCCCAGCGGCCCTAACAGGCCTGCAAGACCGCACAGGTTGAGGGCCAAGAGGTTGGGGCAGCAGCCCAGGGAGCACGTGCCAGAGGTGGCCCAGGGGGCTGCTCTGGTCAGCCTACAGTCAGCGGCCACTCACACAGCCACTGTCCCGCCTCCTTTCTCTCGTAGCTTTTAATATTCTCTCCTTGTTCTGTATGTTGGATATCTTCATAATTAGGTGTCTTGGAGTTGGTCTATAACGGTTTTGGATGTTTGGGGTCCTGTAGGCTTCCAGGATTTGGCAATCCATTCCATCTTTCATATCTGGGAAGTTTTCTAAGATTATTTCATTCAACAGATTGTTCATGCCTCCCAGCGCCCTGAGGCTTAGCATGAGAGGAGCCCTGTTGCCAGACAGCCTCCCTGTGAGCATAGAGACCTGCACATTTTGCGGGGTGGAGGGGGCTTTTGTTTCGGTGCCCAGGGCCTCACACCTGTCCACCGCTAAGCGACAGCCCCAGCAAGACCCGCACGCGGAACCCCACCTCCAGAAAGTCTGCAGCCCCCCTCTGGTGAGAAAGGACACTGAAGAAATTTGTCAGATGCTGAAAACGCACACGACGTTGGGCTAAAATAAGACGCTCACCAGAGGACAGCGTGTGGTGGCTGGGAGCTCGCGGGGCGTCTGTATGCAAGCAGGCCGAGGAGGACGTCACCCTAGGTGACAGGACACAGGAGAGCAGGACAGAGGCTCCTAGCAAGGGTAGAGGATGTCTAAGTTCAGTAACACAGCGAAGAGGGTCGGATTGTGACCTTCAGTGGTTTGGCTCCTGGTTTCTTAGAGAAGGACTGAGTTCAGGATGTAGCCATTATTATCTAATTTTTTTCTGATTATTATCTAATTATTAAAGGGGCCAACAGTTGGTGATGCTGCAGCATGAAACCATAAAACAGCCGTCCTTTGTATTCCTCGAAGGTTGCGTACTGCAGGTGTCATCGAAAACCAGGGGACAGGAGCCAGGGTCGGGGCTCAGTGGCAGAGCACTTGCCTCGTGTGTGTGAGGCACTGGGTTCAAATCTCAGCACCGCATATAAAGAAATGGAGAAAATAAAGCCCATCAACATGTAAAAGAAAGACTTTTTAAAAGGGTTGAGTCTGGGACGCCTGTGCTTGTTTAGTTGGAAGTCCCCAGGTTCATAGGCAGAGCCCTGCGCTGCCTTGGTGGTAGATGCTGCCCCGTGGGGTGAGCCCTGCCCGCTGACCAACACAGCGGATTCCTTCCTAGTCACCAGAAACTGGAGACACATTCATTTTTCTCTTTCTCGCACCATTTTCCAGTGTCTTTAATGTGTGGTTCTCAGCCCTTCTACCCATGTAGCCCCTTGGTCCTGGGCCTCCACTCACAGCCCACCCCAAGATGCACTCTTTACCCTGCTGGATAACTGGTTTTCTTCTGTGTGCATCATGTGACCCCCCGCCCCTATAATCTGCGTTGTGACCCGTTCACCGTCTATTCCACAATCACCATTCTGCCCAACCCCAGCCCTTTTTATTATGTTTTATTGTGAGAAGGGCCTCACTGAGTTGCTGAGGCTGGCCTCAAACTTGCCATCCTCCTGCCTCAGCCTCCCAAGTGGCTGGGATGACAGGTGTGCGCCACCACGCCCGGCTCTGCCCACCTTGTGGGATGTGACAGCATCACTGTTCTAGTGACTGTGCATTTCTGCCTGCAGCCCTTGACCATGTTCTTTTCCCACCTGGAATCTCTGATCCCGTCCTGTAAACCTGTCCTGATCCTCATGTGGAGGGACCCTTCCTGTGTGCTCCTAGGTGCTGGAGGCGCAGGGTCGGCAAGATCACCCCGACTCCCAGGGGACCTGCCCGTCTCCGTTCTCCCTGGGCCTTGCTGAGCTCCTCCACTCTGGCCTGTTGTCTGTCCCTCGCTAAGCTGCTTCTGTCCTGGGAACTTCTGCATGGTGCCCCACACACCTCCACTCCCTCCACCCCCAGACGTCGCCATAACTCAACATCACCCTCGTGGCTGAACAGGAAGGAGGCCTCCCAACTGTCCAGCCCCACGGGCCTCCAGCCAGTCTGCCCTGTCACCCGCTGGTCTTGGTTTCCCTCCTCCGCCCCTGAAGTCACCTTGGCTTTCCCCCCTCTCGTGGAAGGGACCCTGCTGCGGGCAGGCGCTGTCCTGCTTCCCACAGGGCTCCCGCCCTTGAGCACGCCTCACACATCACGCCATGGCCCAGCGCTGGTGATGGGCCGGCCTTGGGCCCTGAGTGGCGGACCCCCAGGTGGTGAACAGGCAGTGCTGGGACAGGCGCTGGTGGCTGCTGGCAGGTCCTGTTCCACTCAGGCGCTGCCCATCTTCTGGTGAGGGTTCTTACGGGGCTCCAGTCGTGCTGCTCCCACGTGCTGCTTCGCCTCAGGTCCCGGCTGTGCCCACCCCCAACCCGGTACTGATGGCCGTGCTGCTGTGTGACTTGGCCTGTGACAAGCTGAGGCCAAGAGCTGCACACGGCATGCCCTGATGCCCCGGGCCACTTGGTTTCTTAGGGGTTTATTTTCTTCCCTTGCAGAATGCATCAGGAGATTGCAAGTAAATTGTTTGCTGCAGGATGCATAAAACTCTCCCTCTCTCCCTCTCTGCCCCCGTCAGGTGTGAACGGTTGGAAGAGCAGCTAAATGACCTGACAGAACTGCACCAGAACGAAATCTTGAACTTGAAGCAGGAATTGGCCAGCATGGAAGAGAAGATTGCGTACCAGTCCTACGAGCGGGCGCGGGACATCCAGGTGAGCGCCAGCCAGGAGGGCGGGACGGGACAGGGGCAGCAGCCGGACCGTGGACAGCAGCTCCTGCCGCTGCAGTGCACCCGCCCTTCTGGGCCAGGTGTCCCCGGGGTCTGGGCCATTTGGGGTGCAGACTGCTCGGGGTCGTGGAAGCGTGTCTGGGCTCCCAGGAGGCTCTGCATGGGAGACCAGAGCCTTCTGTCCGTCGGCTGCAGCTCTGTCACATGCGAGGGCCACCTGGCCTGGATTCTGCACCCTGAGAGGGAGGGCCTTGTCCTAGCTGCCAGGGCCAGAGCTCCTGCAGACACGTGCCACGCAGCTGGGCAGAAGCCCCTGAGGCAGGTGTTGGAGGGGAAGAGCTGCTGTATTCCATGGAGAAACAGAACGTTTGATTTTTTTCCTTATTTCTGTAGAGAGTATTTCCCAGGGAACGAGATGCCAGATGATGAAAGCCTCTTCCAAGAAGCTTGTCTAGAGAAGGGAGGTGGCCTGGGAAACTGGGGTACAGCCACCTCAGGGCCCAAGAATGTCCCCACAAGTTGCCTAGCTGCCCTTTTCTCCAGGGCCTGGAATTCTACTTGCGTTTTAGGGTTTTCTCCCGTCAAGGTGGTCTGGCTGGGCAGATCTGCTCCACCTCTAGCTGGCTTCAGCCTAAAGCTGCCCGAGCCTCACAGGCAAATCAAGAGCCATCAAAGCAAGGCCAGAGCAGGCCGTGTGTCGCACACCTATAATCCCAGGGACTCAGGGGGTTGGGACAGGAGGTCACAAGTTTGAAGCCAGCTTCAGCAACTTAATGAGGCCCCATCTTACAATAAAAAGGACCCGAAATGTAGCTCAGTGGTAAAGCATCTCTGGGTTCAATCCCTAGTGCCAAAAAAAGAAGAAAAGGAACCAAGACCAGAAAAGCCCAAGGCTCCAGCTTTGGAAGATGTGTCTCCATGGCTAGGGAAATTGATCCTGTCCCCTGGATGCTTGGCAGATCATGAACACTCAGGGTAAAGGTCTTGGTGTTGAGGAGAACACATCACTTTAACGTTTGTCTAGCGTATGACACAGAGATCAACCCAGAAGGGCCGTGTAACGCCATCAGGGCAGGTCACAGTTCCTCTGGGCTGAAATCAGACACTGACTTGATTCAGAAACCAGGTAGCCTTGGGTGGCCTTGGGAGGCTGAGGCAAGAGGATCAATCACAAGCTCAAGGCCAGCCTCACCCACTAAGCAAGATCCTGCCTCAGAAGAGAAAGGGCTGGGGGCGAGCCTCAGGTGGACGCCCTCTAGTTCAGTCCCCAGTACCAGAAAAGAAGAGGCGGGGTCTTGCCTACTTCCTAAGGCCTGCCTCCAACTTGAGATCCTCCTGCCTCAGCCTCCCGAGTCCGAGTCCCTGAGTTTACAGCTAAGTTAATAATGCTTCAAAGAGAGCCTGCATTTGAGGTCTTGCCATTACAATGCTGCAGGCCATATTAAGGCAAGCATGGCCACTGTCCAGGGGACCCTGTCCCAGGGGAGCCGTGGAGGGAGGGATGGCCACGGGGTGGGGAGCCGGGCCACTGGGTGGGGAGCCAGGCCACTGGCCTTTTCTCCCGGGCTGTGGCGTGTTTCCCGAGGCCGGCACAGCCCAGGATGCATGGGCTGGCCCAGGGGCGTCGACTCCGGCGTGGGGCAGCACTAACGTCCCTGTTTGGCCCTCAGGAGGCGCTGGAGGCCTGCCAGACCCGCATCTCCAAGATGGAGCTGCAGCAGCAGCAGCAGCAGGTGGTGCAGCTGGAGGGGCTGGAGAGCGCCACGGCGCGGAACCTGCTGGGCAAGCTCATCAACATCCTGCTGGCCGTCATGGCCGTGCTCCTGGTCTTCGTGTCCACGGTGGCCAACTGCGTGGTCCCCCTCATGAAGACGCGCAACAGGACGTTCAGCACTTTATTCCTCGTGGTCCTGGTGGCCTTCCTCTGGAAGCACTGGGACGCCCTCCTGGGCTACATGGAGCGCTTCTTCTCGTCCCCCAGGTGATGCTGGGCCGCGCCCTCGAGAGCGCACACGGCGGCCGGCGGGGAGATGGGGCAGCTCACCTGCTCCAGTCGCCCCCACAGCAAGAGTCGAGTGAATCTGTTTACATTTAGAATAATGTTTTTTTCTTCAAGAGACGCAATTGCAATAGTATTTTTTAGATTTTATCCAAGAAGTTTTTTGGGCGAAAATCTTGGATCATTTTTATGTAGCATGATTTTCCTTGGGATGCAGATCCTCCCCGTCCTTTAACACAGCCACCACCGGAGCGCCCAAGGGCATCTCAGCTGCGGCCTGAAGGACTCACTAACCCACTAAAAAGATGCGACACCCAGCGACACCCAGTTGGCAGAAAGACCGACAGCCCCTCGCCTGCCCCGGGGCGCCACCTCCCTCCCGCCCGCCCGCCCGGGGACTCTACTGTGAAACCTGCCACATTCCATGTGTGAGTTTTTGGATTCAGGGTGGCATCTCCTCGTCCGTGGAAGAGCACGTGGACCTCCCTGGCATTGTCACCCAGTTGGCCATTCACACTCACCCTGGAGCCCCGTCACTCCTGGACCTGGTCCCCTCACGTTGCGGGGAGACAGAAGTGAGAGCCTCGTGCCACAGGGTCACCGCACAGTCCTCCTGCAGTGTTGTGAAGCAGCCCTGGAGATCCCCAACCCGTCATTTCCAGCAAAATCCCTTGGCCGCACTTTTAAGGTTTTTTTTTTTTTTAATATGTGTGTGTGCGCGTGTGTGCGCGTGTGCGTGTGTGCATAGTTACCACCTTAAAAATAAAACACCCGAACAGCATACTTGAAGAATGTAATACTCCAACTCTCAGTGCTTCCTTATGGTTTCTAATAGGATTTTTTATTATTGTTATTATTATTATTGGGTTTTTTTGGAAGGGGGTTGGGAGGGTCTTTTATTTTTCCTTTGAAATAAAGAAGTGATGTTTTTAAATGGAGACGTGTGGCTATTTAAATGTGCTGCTCCCTCTTGTCCTGACACAGCGTGAGGAGGGGACTCGCTGGGGACAAGGCACTGTCTTGACATGCATCCTCAACGCCCCGCTGTGGCGGCTGCTTCGTGGGGTCCTGCCAACCCCTCTCCACCCCTCCCCGGCTCAGCGAGGTGGGGAGTCCAGGTGCGCAGGGGCAGGGAGGCCACGTCCCCAGAGCGCGTGCTACAGCGGGGACAGTTTGGCCCCAAGAAATATTCACCCAGTGACCTTGAGCTGGGGCTGTCAGTTAGGAAAAATGGAGAGTCACAGCGATTCCTTGTGTTTCCTTAATTTATTGTCACACCCCCGATGGCCGAAACCAAAGTGATGTGCGTCCTCTGTCTGCTCCTCGCCCGGCTCCCTGCATTTCAAAGCTTTATTCTGCCCGCCTCAGAGGACCTGCTGAAGGGGATTCCACACAGCAGCAAGGGACCCACGTCTCGGTGTCCCCGTCGCCGGCTTCCTGTTCATCGAGACTGACGTCTTCACGAACTGTGCTCAGTGGACTTTTGGAGACAGTCACCCTGGTGGGACCTGGACTCGGAGCTCGCCTGGAGAGCCTGGTTCGTCTTCGCGCAGTGTGGGTCCCCAATGCCATTCCCTCTCGTCCTCCGTCTGTGCGCCCACGTGCTGCACAGGGCCTGGGCCACGCCCTGGAGAGAGAGCAGAGCCCGCTTTGCCTGTCCCCACGCCAGGAGCTGCTTCTGGAACCATATCAGCGTTGCCCTGTGTGCGGGAAAGGATGACATGGGGGACCGCTCTGGCCTTCTTTGACTGTGGCCAGGCGGCCTGCCCGGTCAGCTGGCTGTCTCCAGGACCCCTTGATATGATAACTCAGGTACCAGTCGCACCCCATCCCCAGATGATTGTAGTGCGCCTCCGTCACCATGAGCCCCCAGCGCAGGGACCACAGGGGTGATTTTTCTTTTTTAAGAAATAGAAACCATCAGAACCAATTCACATTCATGCCAAAAACAAATCGTCCCCAAGCCTAGACCCTTAACATGTCACCTTTGCCTGAAACACTGCAGCGACTTGAGCAGGAGTGCCAAAGGACACCACGACCTTGACAGACTGCTGTAGCTTCATTGCTCAGAGAAGAGAGCCTTACAGAGTTAATTAAAAAGAAACATTCAGAAATGCCCTCGCAGAAACCCAGGAGTTTTTCAGACAAACTTGGAGTCTCCGGCTGCTTAGTGGCTCCAGAGATCTGCACTGTGACGCGCCGGTTGACGTTGTTCCCATTTGCCTTTGGGACAGTTCCCATCGAGGGAAGGTCTTCACCTCTGGAAGGCCCAGAGCTGCCCCGGACAGGCCCACTCCCCTTCCACCACAGTTCAGGGCAGGTGCGATTGTGCCTTCCTGTCCCCTGTGTCCTGACCGCTCACCAAGTCCTCCCGCCACCCTGTGCATCCCGCGCGCCCGGCAGCCACCCATCTGTTGGTGCCCGCCTGTGCTCCATGTTGACCACCCCTGTTGCCTTCGAGTTTCCTCTCCGGGTGGCTGTTCCTAGGTCCCCTTGTCTGTCCCAAGCCTTTCTAGAACCTCACCCTTAAGTGTTCTCTATAGGACTCGATCTCACTTCAGTGACTCCGCGTGCGTTTTCTTTGAAATGGAGCATTCCTGAGTTCTGTGTCCCTGCTGGGCCTGGCCTGGGTGGGTGAGGCTGGCTGCCTTCGCCTGGGTGACTCGGTTCAGGTTGTGGGAGGACCACGATTTCCCCCGTGTGTCACCATTCCAAGGGCTGTGGGCTCCAGTCTCCATTACCCGTTACCCTCTGTGCATCCTAACGAGGAAGGCTTTCCAGAAACCCCCTGGCTCCTTAAGATGCAAAAAGAGGCTGAATTTTATCTGGGCCACTGACTGGGGTCCTCCCACTCACTCCCTTGTCCCCCTTGGGGTCCAAATCTGGTGCCAAGCAGAGCCAGGGGTGCAGCCCTCCTCGCCAGCCATGTCCTCCCAATGAGCTCAATTCCACGTGGTTCCCACTGCATTTGGTTGTGTTTTCAATTTCACATCCCTTCGAGGTACAGTAGGAAGTGGGGGGAATGCCGAATTCTATGCATCCAAAACCAAACCAAACCCTCGGGTGCCCAAGGCCAAGCCCCGGCTCCCATGCCCCTGCCCTCCTGCCCACAGGAAACCTGGGGATTTGAATGTGGCTCTAAGAGTGGACATTTGCGCTGTGTGTCGTGTATGCCAGGTGACACCCTCAGTAGGGATGGACTACTAGACTGACTGTAAGCGTGTTTTCTCCAAGTGTGTAAGAATAAAAACTCACTTGCACGAACTGAAAAGTTACAGAAATGACACTTGTGAACGCGTGAACTTTAACACTGTAGTTGATAGATCTTAAGCTGCTAATGTGTTGAGAGAGATTTATGTTGTGTGTGGCCGCTGCTGATGGGCAGCAGGACTTTTACTGTACATACAAATGGAAATAAAGACCTCAGCTATTAACCTGGTGGCTGGACTTGGGTTTGTTTCAGCCTTTCAGGTGTCCGGCAGCAGGCGCGCCAATCTGAAGACTTTCCACTAGTGTAAATGTTGAAAAGAGAGAGAGAGAATGCGAGAGAGAGAGAGAGTGTGTGTGTGTGTGTGATTCTGTGTGTGTTGCTGGGCTGACATGCACAGATAGGCAGGTTGTACATTGTACAGTTGGAAGGGGCTTCATATGTAGGCCACACGGTCAACATCCCAACCGTGCCGTGAGTAATGGGCACACAGAGAAGCCCCAAAAGTGGAGAGTGTATAATCTCAAAGTCTGCTTTATTTTCACCCTCTAAAAACTTTAAAGAGCCTGGCCCCATGGTGCACCTCCATAAGCCTAGCTACAAGGAGGCTGAGGCAGGAGGATCACAAGGTAGAGGCCAGCCTCAGCCATGTAGCAAGACCCCATCTCTAAATAACTAAGGTTTGGGGATGAAGTTCAGAGGTTGAGCACCCGGGGGTTCAATCCCCAGTACTAAAAAAAAAAAAAAAAAAAATCAAGACTAGTACAGGTACAGCAAACCATAATGAAAACATGAATTAAAATAACTGCTCCACCTCAAGAGAAGGTTGTGAGGGTTAAATGAAACCACCGTGTACAGCCCAGCACCTGGCCAGAGGGAAATGCTTCACAGTGATCCCAGTTATTAATGTCTATAGACTAAGGATTCCCTGAGAACAGGCACCGTGTCACTCAGCTGACGTCAGGACATACCACATCTGCCGTCCTGCCCCAGCACAGGCCCAGGAGTCAGAATTTGGGCCGGCCCTGGCCTTGGAGTTGGTTTGGGGAACCAGAAAATACGCAAATCAGCATGTCAGAGAATGCCCGCAGGTAGGCAGCCGCAGAACACCCAGGCCCTGGGGGACGGGGTGGACACTAATCGATTAGATAATACGTTCATTAATAACTTGATTTTTACTCCCAATTTCCTTTTTTTTTTTAATACCAAGAATTGGACCCAGGGGCACTTAACCACTGAGCCTCATCCCCAGCTGTTTTTCTTTTTTATTTAGAGACAGTCTTGCTGAGTTGCTTAGGGCCTCCCTAAGTTGCTGAGGCTGGCCTCAAACTTGCAATCCTCCTGCCTGAGCCTCCCGAGACCCTGGGATTACAGGCATGTGCCTCCACTCCTGGCTGAGGTGGTATAATTTCCATTTTGCAGGTGGAAAACAAAAGCTAGAGTCGGTGGTTTGGATTTTTTCCTATAGACACAACATTTCATTAGTAAATGGCAAAGTCAGGATTTCAACTTGGCTGAATTTGACTCTCCAACTCATGCTATTTCTGCTGTTCCATTTTGCTGGATAAGGAAGTGAGTTTCGGGGGCTGAAGGTCTAGCTTAGTGGTCGACCACTTGCAGAGTGGGTACCAGACCCTTTTTTGACCTTGAGAAGGTCAATCACCTACTTTTTCTGACTCTCCATGTCCTGGCTGGAAAATCACCATAGTTCTCCTCCAACAATAAAGTATTGGTCCCCTAGGTGAATAGCCATGCACACTTGAAGGGCTCCCCATCAGAAGGGACAGGCGGCCATCTGTAGTTGAGATCTAGGCGGACCCCACCAGGATCGGGGGAGCCAGAAGGGAGCTGGGGGAGGGGTTTGAATCAAATGTACAGATGTCCACACGACACTGAATACATTGGTGTTCCCACTGCATAAAACATTCCATGATCTAAAAAAACAACCATAGTGTTGACCTATGCCACATGAACTAGAACCTTAAGACAATAATTGGGCAAACTCCCCTCTATTCTTCGTGAAATTTGTGAGTTGTGCTCGACTGGTCAAAACTCAGAACCCATCAAGATGTCTCTGGAGCCGGGATCGAGGGAGCATGCCCATAATCCCAGTGTAATCCCAGTGACTCAGGAGGCTGAGGTAAGGGAGGAGGATTGTAAGTTGGAGGCCAGCCAGTAACTTAGCAATGCCCTAAGCAACTTAGCAAGATTTGAACTACCATATGGCTCAATGCCCTTTAAGACCCCTTTAAGCCAGGCGCAGCAGTGCACACCTGTAATCCCAACAGCTCGGGAGGCTGAGGCAGGAGGATCATGAGTTTGAGGCCAACCTCAGCAATTTAGGGAGGCCCTGAGGCACTCAGTGAGACCCTGTCTCTAAATAAAATACCAAACAGCCCCTAGATGATTAATTTTCATAGAGTGTGTCATTTGTGAAAGCTGAAGCTTGGGGCTGGGGGTGTGGCTCAGGGGTAGAGCACCTGCCTGGCCCATGTGAGGTCCTGGGTCCCATCCCCAGCACCACAAAAAGGAAAGAGAGGACAGAAGGACAGGAGGAAAGGGAAAAAAATGGGTACCTGATCCAAGTCAGCCCACCCGAGTCCTGCAACTCTTGCTACCTGTCTTGGGAGCTAGGAGGTCATCTTCCTGCCTGAAGGCACGGGGCTGGGGGCAGGGAGGCCAGACCAGGACAGGGGAGTCAGGTTCCCCATAAACCAGTCCAGCTCCTGGCAGCAGCCCTGGGTCAAGTACTGGGGATTGAACCCAGGGTTGCGTCACCCCTGAGCCACCTCCCACCTCCCCAGCCCTTTTTATTTTTTATTTTGAGACAGGATCTTGCTAAGTTGTTCAGGGCCTCGCTAAATTGCCAAGGCTGGTCTCCAACTTGCAATCCTCCTTCCTCAGCCTCCCAAGTCGCAGAATTACAGGCGTGCGCCGCCGTGCCAGTTGGCAATGTCGCCATTGCCAAAGCTAATTTGAGTCGGGCTTTGTCACTCGCCTCCAGGTGACCTGTCTGGTGGAGGAGTATAAGGGACCACCCTTCCCTCCCAGGACCATGCCTCCCCTAACTTGAGCCACGCTGTCTGCCTGGGAGCCTCTGCCTTCTCAGTCTAGTGCTGTAGAACCTGGGACCAGAGAGAGAGGTCATGGCCAGTGCTGGCCCCTGCAAAAGGTCCCGGGCAAGCGAGAGGGTGAGCAGTAGCACACACCACAGCACTGGGGCTATGGCAGCTGCCCTGTGGCCACCACACATATGCTCCACCATGTGAGGGGGAAAAAACAGCCCATTTCTAAATAATCCCCTTTTCAGCCTAACCTAGTTCAGGCCGAGAACGTGTGTCTACAAACTTGTTCTTGCTGGGCACGGTGGCACATGCCTGTAATCCTGGCAATTTGGGAGGCTGAGACAGGAGGACTGCAAGTTGGAGGCCAGACTCGGCAATTTATCAAGGCCCCAAGCAACTTAGCGAGACCCTGTCTCAAAATAAAAAATAAAAAGGGCTGGGGATGTGGCTCAGTGGTTAAGTGTCCCTGGGTTCAATCCCCAGTTCCAAAAAAAAAAAGAAAAGAAAGAAACCCTCAGGGGACAGTTGGTGACATGTGAGTAAGGAATAAGTATTGCATCATGGTCAAATCTCCTGATTTTGAGAATTCCGCAGTGACTGAGCCATAGAATGTCCCTATTCTTGGGAAATCCTGTGAAAGGTTTAGGGTTCAAGGGGCGTGGCCTCTGCACCTCTCCCTCCAGGGCTTGGAGGGAGGCGTGAACACGCAGGACGATGTGGGGAGCAGAGTGTTAAAACCTGGTGCATCTAAGTAGAGGAGGGGACCCAGGGACTCGGGGTTCTGTTCTCACAAGTGTCCGGTCCATGTTGAAATGATGGCCAAGGGAAAGAAAACCTGGTCTCTGTCGCCGTCTGGTGGCCGTTTCGGGGAGCGCACCCTGCGGGTCCCGACCTCAAACCCTGCGCCCAATTGAACTGGACTCCGGGCGCCTCCCAGCAGCCACCTGCCCATCGGAGCCTCCCGCCCTGGGGGTCCCTCCGGGTGCGGGTTCGAGTCCCCCTCGTGCCGAGGTCTGGCTGCCCGTGTGAACCGCTGCGAGCCCACGTCTCATGCAAACCGGGCGAAGTCGCCTTCACAGGAGCCACAATGTGCCAGTGTCAACCCTGACGCTTTGTGCAACAGGGGAAACTGAGGCCCCAAAGCCTCCCTGACTCCCTTTTTTTCTCTGCAAACAGCCGGCCCATCCCCCTCCCCCTGATCCTCCTTGGATGCGACTCAAATCCCGCAACTCCCCTAAAGTCTGGGTTCCCTATTGTCACCTCCGATCTCACCTCCCCAACCCCGCGCCCTGCCACCCACCAAGCACATCCTCGCTCCAGGGCTTCCTCTTGGTCCTGGGTTCCCGCTGGGTGTCACCTCCCCGGGAGCCAACAGCCCCCTCCCCCGCCCCGTCTCCCCTTCCATGCAAAGGAACAGTCACTAACCGCCAGGGACTCCCAGTTCTCTGACTTCCCCGCGTGTCCCCAGTGACATCTGGCAGCGCGCGTGCTTGCGTAAGGGCGGGAATGTTTGTCCCTAAATCCTTTAGTCCCCCGCTTTGCTCCCAGGTGCCCGAGGCGCTCAAGAGTCCAAGGGTGTCCAATGAGGGTGGGGAAGGCTAAAGGTGGCCCTGTCTCCTGGGGACAGCGTGCCTACGTCATGCACGGCCAGAAAAGGAGCGCGGGGGACCCGGCCACTACCCTGCGGAGCGCAGCGCGGGCTCCGGGAGCTCAGGGAGCTGAAGTGTCCCCAGAACCGGGAACCCGAGGCTGAGGACCCGCAGCCCGTGCTCCGCCCGCTGGCTGTCGTCCCGCTTCCAAGCGAGGAGGGGGACGCGCCGGCGGGGAACCTCGGTGACAGCGTGTGGCATCCCACCCGCCACAACCCTCGGAGCCGCCCCGGGAGGCGGAATCCGACCCCACTCGGACCCTGGAGAGGCTCCCAGGGGGCAGGGGGCGGGGCGTCGGGACGATGGGCGGGGCGGGGCGGGGCGTAGAGACGACGGGCGGGGCGGGGCATCGAGGCACTGGGCGGGCGGGGCGGGGGCGGGGCGTCGATTTGATGGGCGGGATGGGCGGGGCGGGGCGTCTAGGCAATGGGCGGGAAGGGGCGGGGCGTCGAGGCACTGGGCGGGGCCGGCGTGCGCGCGAACAATCGTCTGGCTCGCGACCTCCGCCCAGC